GTCTCCCAGTGAGGGGCTCCCCTGACCTGAGCTGCCCCCATTCTCCTCATACAGGACGGGGGCGGCCAGGTTTGGGCCCTGACCAGCGGGCAGAGCTGTGGCCACAGTCACAGGTCAAGTGGCTCAGTGACCACCCCATCGGCCCCAGAGGCTGTGACCTGCTCCCACCCTCCTCACTGTGCAGACGTGTCCTGGACTCGTGCTTGCACCCACACCAGCTGGGTTTGGACAGGCCGCTGGGACGGGAGAAAGAGCACAGGACTTGGAGCCCGGAGCCGGAGTGGAGGCCTGGAACCGGTCTCAAGGAAAACTGCAGTTCTCTGTCAAAAATAACTTGTTAAAGCCATGCACAAAATGTTTGCCTAGAATTTCAAATACCCGGCCCCCCCTCCCCCCGCTCCCCCGCCAGGCCTTCAGTAAACTTCCCAGGGGCCCCTGGACCCCAGATCAAGGACCCCAACCTGCCAATTTGGGCACAGCTGCTGGCCTTTGCCTCCAGATCCTCCCCTTTACTGAGCAGTCAGCAATATTTTCCCGTTTCCTCCCACGCACAACGGCAGGACCAACTACCGCAGGGCCCGTGTAACTCTATGCAGAGATGTATCAGCCCCCGGGGCTCCTGGCCAGTTCACCGTGGAGGCGGAAGACACAACGAACTTCATGGATGGCTAACGAGCTGACCAAAGCAGCAGGCCCTGGGTCTGAAGAGTTTCAGACTGTGACTAGTGGAGGGACACAGTGATGACAGCACGGGGGACACAGCCTTCTGGCCGCCCACGGCGGTGGAGGGGCGTGGGAAGAGCTTAGGCTCAGTCACTAGCACGCCTGGGCGTTATATCTGACTCTGTAATGTAATTGTGCTATTAGGGCCTGTTACTCAACCTCGGCCTTTCGAGTTCCTCTTCTGTAAGTGGGCATACGAGTGATGCAGCAGAAATGATAGAATACACCAAATGTTCCCAGATTCCCTTACCCTCCCAGCCTCCCTTGCAGAAGGGTGAGGTCATGTGACTAGTTCTGGCTGGTGGTCTGTGGAAGAGGCCTGTGCCACACCTGGCTGAGCACTCAAGGGTCCCTGTGTCCCTCCCTCCCTCTCTTCCATCTTCCACAATGACCGCAGGGGCCGTCTCCCCGGTGGTGTGGCTGCAGGTGGAAGAAAGGTCTCCCGGGCCATCTCACATTCTACATGCCTGTCGGTCTGTCTGCCACCTTCCCCGCTCCCAGGCTCTGGTTGCCATGGAACCTCATTAATCAGGCAGGCAGACCCTGGGCCTCTTGGAAGTACTGGGGAGGCTGGCCTCGGGGAATGGGAGAGGAGCCCCCAGTGCCAGGAGAGGGTCAACATCCCGAGGAGATGTCTGGATAAACTGCTCCCTGAGCAACACGAGGCTCAAGCTCAGCTCAGATTGGGGCCCAGGAAGAGCTGGCTGAGTTACGTGAGAAGGACCGGAGCACGGAGTTCGGACCTGTGGGCTGCAGGAAGGGCATGGAGACTGGTTTGACTGGCGCAGCTTGTGGGTGAAGGTGGGGCACAGACTGGCAGGCAGGGGCAACATGCCAGGCAGGTGAGGGTCTCAGCAGGGGACTTGGAGCAGGTGGGAGGGGTGAAGCAGGGCTGGGGCGAGAAGTGGAGGCCTCCGTGGCAGCTGGTCCCTGAGGCATCCTCTGACCCTCTTGGCCCAGTGCTGCCTTCCTTCCGGAATCACCAGAGATGCTAATGATAATAATGGTAGCACCATTGTTTTGAGACTGTTTTGTTTGTCAGGCTCTGTGCCAAGCACTCTACCCAATTAACTCATTTAACCCTCTCAGCAACCTTCCCCTTTTACAGATGGGGAAGCTGAGGCCAAGATGTCAGTATCTTCCCTAGTCATCCAGCTGGTGAATGCTGGGACCATCCAAATTTCCTGAGCGGTTAGCCTAACCATTGGAATTCCTTGCCTCCCGGATGCTAATAGAGGTTGAAGGAAGCCCAGGGCCTTCCTCCTAATGAGTGATGGTGGGGTGTGTGTGGTTTCCCCTGGTTTGTTTCCTATAACCCAGTGGCCGGTCCCTGCTGGTACCAGCTTGGGGCCTGGAAAAGAACTTCCATTTAGCTGACTTGACAAGTACTCAGCGGGCCCAGGGCTACGGGTCCTGCCCTCAGGGGGCTGAATTCCAGGCTCCGGGGTACTGCCAGGGACTGGCCCCAGGGCACACGCCCTCTGCTTCACCCCCATGGTGCCTGAGGCAGCCTCAGTGGCCTGAGCATGCTGGAAAAGAACTTCCATTTAGCTGACTTGACAAGTACGGGTCCTGCCCTCGGGTGGCTGAATTCCAGGCTCCAAGGGACTACCAGGGACTGGGCCCAGGACACACGCCCTCTGCTTCACCCCCATGGTGTCTGAGGCAGCCTCAGTGGCCTGAGCATTTCACAGATTCAACAGTTGACTTAGGGAGCACCCATGAGGTGCTAGGCACTGAGGAAAGCTAGAGGCCTCTGCCCTCACAGTACTCAGGGCTGGTGGGCGTTTTTGCTGGTGGGCAGGGGTGGGGGCTGGCACCATCCTGAAGTCCAGAAAAGTGGGCCTAGCTTTTGCCCTCCGACACCCCAACTCTTTAAAAATATATATTTTTTAATGATTTCAGAGAGGAAGGGAGAGGGAGAGAGAGATAGAAACATCAGTGGTGAGAATCATTGACCAACTGCCTCCTGCACGCCCCCTACTGGGGATCCAACCAGTGCCTTGATCTGGAATCAAACTGCGACCTCCTGGTTCATAGGTCAACGCTCAACCACTGAGCCATGCTGGCCGTGCCCAACTCTTATCTGTGGGTAGCCACTGGCCACACGAGCTGTGGCCTCCAGTGAGGGACCCACTGCACTGGTGTTTTGGGGGGGAAGGGGCACAGATCTTGCAAAACAAGCTACAGGGGGGGAAAGACAGAGCTCCTCAGATCTTTTCTCAAGAGCGCATTTTCTTTTTTTTGTTTTTTTTTTAATCCTCACCAGAGGACATTTTTCCATTGATTTTTAGAGAGGGGGGGAAAGACAGAGCTCCTCAGATCTTTTCTCAAGAGCACGTTTTCTTTTTTTTTTTTTAATCCTCACCAGAGGACATTTTTCCACTGATTTTTAGAGAGAGCGGAAGGGAGAGGGAGAGACACAGAGAGAGAAACATCCATGTGAGCGAGACACATCGATTGGTTGCCTCCAAGCACTGCTGACCAGGGCCGAGGATGGAGCCTGCCCGGGAGGTAGCAGGTATGAGCGAGGCTCCTGCCCTTGACCGGAATCAAACCGGGACCCTTCAGTCCACCGGCGGCGGAGGCTGTATATCCCCTGGGCCACACCGGCCAGGGCAAGAGCACGTTTTCAAATGCAGAAGCAGGGAAGGCTGGGGAGGTGGGAGCTCAGTCCGGGGAAAGGTGAGGAAGGCCTGCCGCCTAGTTCCAGCGATTGCCCCGTACTCTCCCTTCCCCCTCCCCCTGCGATTTCCTCTCTCCTCCCCTCCACCTGCCCCCACACTTCATAGAGGAATCCTTAGACACGTGGTGACTCGGGGAGAGGGAAGAGCCCGCCGTGTGTGCAGAGTCTCGGAGCAGACAGGCGGGCCTGGAGGTCTGAGCTGGGCGCTTATCCCAAAGGTGCGGGTGGGCAGTCGGTGCGCCCCGCGGACGGACGGTCAGAGTATCGAGAAGGAAGCGGTTTTCATTTCTTGTATCCGTTTTGCATCATTTCTCCAAAACAAGGTTCCTGGTCCAGCTCTAAGTTTTCATTTGGAAGTGATCTCCAGGGAGGCCCGGGCCCCCGAATCCATATAATCAGGCCCGTCCCAGGCGGCATCGGGGCTCCGTCCCGCACGCCTCCCCGGGCTGG